CGTATCCAAGACAGAGCTCTTGTTGTTTCTGCGCAGTTGTCTGCTCGTTACATCGCTGGTACGTATGTTTGTGATCTTTAAAGAGTGTTGCTGTTACTGTTTTCTTAGGTTTGATGTGGTGTTATGTAGGTCGAGCTTTACCGGATAAGGCAATTGATTTGGTTGATGAGGCTTGTGCAACGTAAGAGTCCAGCTTAATAGTCAACCTGAAGAAATTCGTAACTTGAAAAGAAAGAGAATGCAGCTACAGATAGAACTTCATGCCCTAGAAAAGAAGGGCAAAGCTAGTCATGAAGCTCGTCTTGTGGAGGTACAACTAATTAAATTCATAATTTTGTTATTAGATAATCCTTAAATATTTATAGCTGAGCCTTTTGAATTTGTAGGTACGGAAAGAGCTTGATGACTTGAGTGACAAGCTTCAGCCTCTTGGAAAGAAATACAAAAACGAGAAAAGGATAACTGATAAGATTCGTAGGTGTACACAGAAACGAGAAGAGCTCACGTTTGCTCTACAGGAGGCTGAGAGAAAACATGACCTTCCGAGAGCTGCCGATCTAAGATATGGTGCAATCGAGGAAGTGGAATCCGCAATTGCAAAATTACAAGAGTTCCAAAGAAAATGTGATGCTCACAGAAACCGTTGGACCAGAGCACATTGCTGCGGTAGTGAGCCGAAGGACTGGGATTCCAGTGACCAGACTTGACCAGAACGACAAGGAGAGGCTAATTTCTCTTGCTGATAGGTTGCACCAGAGGGTTGTTGGACAAGACCGCGCGGTGAACGCTGTGGCTGATGCAATCTTAAGGTCGAGGTCTGGACTAGGAAGACCACAACAACCCATTGGCTCTTTCCTCTTCCTAGGTCCAACTGGTTTCGGCAAAACTGAGCTAGCCAAGGCTCTCGCTGAGCAACTCTTTGACGATGAAAACCTAATCGTTAGGTTTGATATGTCTGAGTATAAGGAAGCACACTCGGTTTCTCGTCTCATCGGGGCACCACCAGGGTACGTTGGTTATCATGAAGGTGGACAACTGACCGAAGCTGTGAGGAAACGACCTTACTGCGTTGTACTATTTGATGAAGTTGAAAAGGCTCATGTTTCCGTGTTCAACACGCTACTTCAAGTGCTAGATGACGGGAGATTAACAGATGCGCATGGGAGGACAAGCGATTTCACAAACTCTGTCATCATAATGACTTCAAACCTTGGTGCTACCCACCTTCTTTCAGGGCTTTCAGGTGAAGTGACAATGGAGGTGGCTCGGGACCAAGTGATGCAAGAGGTGAAAATGTATTTCAGGCCAGAGCTGCTAAACCGTTTGGATGAGATATTGATGTTTGATCCTCTGTCGCAAGAGCACCTGAGGAAAGTGGTTCAACTTCAGATGAAGAATGTAGCTATCCGGCTCGCTGAGAAAGGTGTAGATATGACTTTTACAAATGCTGCATTGGACTACGTTTTAGCAGCGAGTTACGACCCGGTAAATCTCTCTCTTCTCTTTCTTAGTTCTCCCTAAAATGTATGTTTAGCTTTTGAGTTGTTATATTATATATACTGTACATATCCAATAAATGATTGATTGGTGTGTCTCATGACCTATGTTGTTGTATGATTATTATTATAGGTGTATGGTGCTAGGCCCATGAGGAGATGGCTGGAGAGGAACGTGGTGACAGAGCTGTCGAAGATGATTGTGCGAGAAGAAATCGATGACAACTCTAACGTGTACATTGATGTGAACGCGGCTAAAACTGATCTTGCGTACCGAATAGATAAGAATAGAGGAGGGTCAGTGGATGAGAAGACGGAGCAAATTTTTGATGTGGTGACTCTTTCTGCGAATAAGAGGAGAAAAAATAAGGTGCCTTCATCGTCGAAGAAAATGAAAAAGAGGAGAAAAGTTAACGAAGTTAAGGATTGAAGAGCAATGGAGGATTTAAAGTTTAACATACCGTGTTCCTGTTCCAACTTGGGACGTTTTAATATTTGTCTATTTGACATTAAAAGCACTTTTTTCTTGTTTGAATATTTTGGGTTTGTGAATTAGTCACTGGATCTTGGTTTGAAGCATCATTAGTTGTGAACTTTTTGATGTATGTTTCGATAGAAATAGTTGCTTGATTGATGGTTACTGTTAACCGGAACCAGAAAAATCCAGCGGGTACAAAGAGAATTGATCATCCACCACCGCTCGATGTAGAAAGCATCCAACGGCAATAAAGGAACTGGATGGTGTTTGGTTGTCATCATAAATTTTAGTTGGCATATATACGTCGATATAAACATTAATTACTTTTCTTTTCTGCAAGATGAATAATGTCTTCAAAGAAAATGAAAAATGTCTTCAAAGTAAAGATATTTTGGAGGCTGGAGCTATGGAACTAGTAATAAACTAATAATAATGCAAGGCTATATTTTTCTAACAAACAAAAAAAATTCCATTTTGGCATTTTCTCTCATAAGTATATTGAGTATTTTCTTTTCCCAATACTATACTTGTAATAAGACATCATTGTTCTGCAGGATCTAAGCAAAAAGCCTCTCTTTTTTTTATCACTGTCTTCAATGCAGTGACTCTCTTTCTCTCTCTTGACTCATAGCTCTTGTTAACTTCAAAACCATCTCAATCTCTACACCATTCTCTCTCTCTGCAAGAAGCTGCATCCAAATCCTGTGCTTAGCTCTGGTGCAACGCCATGGTAGTTGTTGTTCTTGCTGTGATTTTGTTGGCTATGGCTGGTCACTCAGGTAAAGACAAGATTTTCTCTGTTCAAATCCTGCAAAGTTGAAGTAAAATAACCCTTCTTTGTCTCACATGAATCCTTTTTTATTTTTGCTGTGAATAAAGATTATTTTTTCTTAAAAGACTCTGTTTTTAGTCCAGAACACAAATCTCAAATTTCTGGGCTTTCATAGTTTGAATGAATTTTTCTAAAAAGAGAAACACTTTCTTGCTTTGCTCATACCTTTCATCAAAAGGTGTTACTTTTTCTCCGTGGAGTACAGAAATCTTGTTCCCTCTTGAATTACACATTTAGATTTCATTTCACACATAAACCAGTGAATTAGAGTTGAAGAAATATGTGTGGTCATGAAGTTCTTGTGTGTGTGTGTGTGTGAATAGGTGGGACATGGTGTGTATGCAGAGAAGGGTTAAGCGAAGCAATGCTGCAAAAGACACTGGACTACGCATGTGGTGCAGGAGCTGATTGTGGACCTATTCACCAGAACGGACCTTGCTTTCAACCTAACACCGTCAAGTCTCATTGCTCCTACGCCGTCAACAGTTTCTTTCAGAAGAAAGGCCAGTCTCAGGGAACTTGTGACTTCGCCGGCACAGCCGCCGTCTCAGCCTCTGATCCCAGTAAGTCTCCATCAACCAACCTCTCTGCTATCACTCATTAAATTAATTTCAAAAGAATGTGTTGAGAGACCATCTTTCACATTTGGTGATATAAAGAATGGAACCCAACTTGAAAGCAAATCAGAGAGGATATAGTATATATTTTGAAATCTAAACATCACAGGTTTCAATGTGAATGATATTGAGATATAAACAATCCATTATCTTAATATATATTATCATCTTAAGATTCTCTACACAGAATTTTAAAAGGATTTTATTAGTAACGGTTGTCTCTTGAACCATTTTGGTCTTATGATAGGCTACACTACTTGTCCTTTCCCTGCAAGTGCCAGGTACACAATCCTTTCTTTCTTTCTTTCTCTTCTTCACCTCTTGATGTGTTAGCATTTGATGATATCTACAAAATTTTGAGATGTGTTTGTTTGGTTGTTTGGTGTGGCATTTGATGCAGTGGTAGTGGTACCACAACTCCAGTGACGACAACACCTTCGACAAGAGTCCCTACCACGACTAACACAAGACCCTACACAGTCACACCTTCAGCAGGAGGAGGATTGGGGATTCCGTCTGGAATTCCTGATTACACAGATCCGTTATCATTTGGATTCAGACTCCAAAGCCCAAGAGCCGGATTATTGTCTGGATTCATAGTCTTCTTCACTCTCTTACCATTCTACTTGTTTAGCTAGTGAGTTAAGGGTACAAACAACAACTAAGTTGGATTGTGGGTCTCTCTCTCACTCCCTACTGTAATGATGGAATCTTTTAGGAGAGAGTCATTTAGGTGGTGGACTTCTTTTGTTCCGTCTTTGTCAGATTTTCCAGCTGTTTCCCACTTGGGTCTGAAAAATTGTACATTTTGATTATTAAGTATGGAGATTGGAGACAGCAAAAAGTTAAGTTTTTTTTTTTCTTCACCGGAATTGTTCAGAAATTAGGTACTTGCCGGAAAAAGCAAATCTTAACGTGCAGAGAGAAAGAGAGGGAGAGGCCTGATTGTTTTCTCGAAAGCTTTAACGACTGTTCTTTTTCCTGCATCGAGAAACCTCGAATTCGCCGAAGTAGATTGACCGGCGACGATTTTAATAAAACATTAAGGATAAAAGTGTCATTTTAACGGTTTAATCAAAATACTAATGAAGGGCAAATATGTCATTTCTCGGTTCCACCAACCAACACTCTCTTCTCAGTTCTCAGTGAGAATTTGATTGATCCGATTCCGATCATCCAAGCAGCAGCCGAAGACGAGTAGACGACCGCCGGCGATTTTTCCGGTTGGTAAGATTTCTTCTCTCATCTTCTTCCTTGGGGGCACGGATCTCTGATCCCAATCTTACATCGTGAATATCAGCTTTCGTTCTGGTTTTAATGGATTTGTTTCTACTTAGATTTAATAGATTGCGTCGATTTCTTCATCTCACCTGGAATGTTAAAAAAATCTATACCCATTGTATCGAAACACGTCTCAGTTTACATTGTAGCTCTTCAACGTCTCAATTTGTTAATGTAACATATATGAGCTTGGCGTATATGAGTTAGAAAATGTCTTTTTTTGGTTTCTGCTCGTATACAGAGATGTGATGGTTTAATTTTGTTTTCTTGTGGTTTTGCAGAAGATCCAAGTTTTGATGGAAGCATTAACTACTTCCAGGGTTGTGCCAATTCAGGTCCCCTGTAGAAAGCTCTCACCAGCGTTTGATAATTTGCAATCTTCCCTTGAGTTTAGGAGATCTCCTTGTAAAGGGGGTGTCTCCATCATGAACCATCCCAAATTGCTTCGTCCAGTGACTGCTTCTGCGCAACCACAGGAGTTGACGAGTTTAGGGCACGAAGGAAACGTTGTTCCTTCTAAAGGTGAGTACTACTAATCATTGCTTTAGACTGGTCTGGTGTATATCGATTTAGGGGATAACGATCTGGTACATGGTTGTGGATTTGTTAACCTGAGATGCTTTGGTTTGTTGGTTTTCTGAATTGGTAGAAATTCTTGATCTTTGGAGAAATGTGGAAGCGGTGTGCTTCGATGTGGATAGCACGGTTTGTGTGGATGAAGGTATTGATGAGCTTGCAGAGTTTTGTGGAGCTGGAAAGGCTGTTGCTGAATGGACTGCCAGGTTTGTGGTCCATCTCCACGCCATTACATACTACAGCCTTAATCCGGTTTCTCGGCTTTATACCTAAATATGTTGATTATTGTTTTGTTAGAGCAATGGGTGGATCTGTTCCATTTGAAGAGGCTCTAGCAGCAAGGCTTTCTTTGTTCAAGCCTTCTCTTTCAAAAGTTGAGGAATTTCTCGAAAAGAGACCCCCAAGGTACTGTTTCTTTACTATGATCCAAGCTACGTACCCTTGATTCACTCTGCTTGAAGAATTCATTTCACAAGTATGGGTCCATCTAGTTCATCTTATACACTGAGTTTCCTCAATCTGGATTCCTCAATCTGGAGTCTCGGACTCCTTACCTCTTCCGTTTCACAAATTAGGTCCATTTGATGTTCCTCCCTTGGATTGAGACCGTTTCACTCATGTTTGTCCTCATAGTCATGTGTAGAACCTATTAATCCATGTTTGGGTAAGTATGGGTCCATCCAGTTCATCTTATTCACTACAAATGAGTTTCCACAATGTGGAGTCACAGAGGTACATTTCGGACTCCTTACCTCTTCCGGTTCCCAAATTAGGTCCATTTGATGTTTTTCCCTTGGATTGAGACCGTTTCACTCATGTTTGTCCTCATAGTCATGTGTAGAACCTATTAATCCATGTTTGGATAAGTATGGGTCCATCTAGTTCATCTTATACACTACAAGTGAGTTTCCACAATGTGGAGTCACAGAGGTACATTTCGGACTCCTTACCTCTTCCGGTTCGCTAAATTAGGTCCATTTGATGTTCCTCCCTTGGATTAAAGACCGTTTTACCATGCTTGATTGCCCTACTCAGTAGTCAGGTAGAAGCTATTTAATCCATGTTTGGTGTTAGCATGGGTCCATCTAGTTCATCTTATACACTACATGTGAGTTTCCACAATGTGGAGTCACAGAGGTACATTTCGGACTTCTTACCTCTTCCGGTTCCCAAATTTGGTCCATTTGATGTTCCTCCCTTGGATTGAGACCGTTTCACTCATGTTTGTCCTCATAGTCATGTGTAGAACCATTAATCCATGTTTGGATAAGTATGGGTCCATCTAGTTCATCTTATACACTACAACTGAGTTTCCACAATGTGGAGGCACAGAGGTACATTTCGGACTCCTTACCTCTTCTGGTTCCCAAATTAGGTCCATTTGATGTTTCTCCCTTGGATTGAGACCGTTTCACTCATGTTTTGTCCTCATAGTCATGTGTAGAACCTATTAATCCATTTGTTTGGATAAGTATGGGTCCATCTAGTTCATCTTATACACTACAAGTGAGTTTCCACAATGTGGAGTCACAGAGGTACATTTCGGACTCTTACCTCTTCCGGTTCCCAAATTAGGTCCATTTGATGTTTCCTCCCTTGGATTGAGACCGTTTCACTCATGTTTGTCCTCATAGTCATGTTAGAACCTATTAATCCATGTTTGGATAAGTATGGTCCATCTAGTTCATCTTATACACTACAAGTGATTTTCCACAATGTGGAGTCACAGAGGTACATTTCGGACTCCTTACCTCTTCCGGTTCCCAAATTAGGTCCATTTGATGTTCCTCCCTTGATTGAGACCGTTTCACTCATGTTTGTCCTCATAGTCATGTGTAGAACCTATTAATCCATGTTTGGGTTAGTATGGGTCCATCTAGTTCATCTTATACACTACAAGTGAGTTTCCACAATGAGTAGTCACAGAGGTACATTTCGGACTCCTTACCTCTTCCGGTTCCCAAATTAGGTCCACTTGATGTTCCTCCCTTGGATTGAGACCGTTTCACTCAATGTTCTCCTCATAGTCATGTATAGAACCTATTAATCCATGTTTGGGTAAGTATGGGTCCTTTCTCGTTTATCATATACACTAAAAGTAAGTTTCCACCATTAGGAAAGACAAAGCTACATTTCGGACTCCTTACCTCTTCCGGTTCCCAAATTTTGTCCATTTCATGTTCCTCCCTTGGATTGAGACCTTTTCACTCATGTTTCGT